TGGGTGCAGTATGGTGCCCTGATGCTATGCTGGGTGCTTGGCATCAGTGTGGGTCATGAGCTCCTGTGTCCTGCCGCACTGAAGGGGCCAACCCAGGACCACTGGAAAAGGCTAGGGGGTGGGAGGGTGGATGGGGAGGTGGTGCCAGACCTGTTCAGGGCTGCCCAGGTATCACACAAAGCCCTGGGAGGTTTCCTGGGAAGGTCCCTCAGTACAGGGTGATGTTTGATGGCTTGGTGAGGCCAGGAACAGGCGCGGGGCTGGGGGGCACCAGCACCTTCCCAGCCAAGGGCTGTGGGACTTGACTCAAAGCAAAGCTGCGGCTCTGGGGCTGGGACCATGAATGCTGATTGTGACCCTCAGTGCCTTGCCAGCCCTCCCAGAGCCACCGCGATGCCTCTGCCTCTTTTGGCCCCTTCCCTTTGGCAAACAGGATGTTTTTCCTGCCATTCTCAATGCAGCGGAAATTGCCCCAAGCTGATTTGTGACAATGGCGCCTTCAACTCGTTTGGCCTGTCCAGGACACGGGCAGCAGCTCTGCAGAGCAGGGCAGCGACAAGCCAACCTGGGGCAGCTGGGGTCCTTGGAGACCCTGGGAAGGTGCTGGTGGGTGTGATGGTCCTTGCTTTTCCTCTCTAGAACCATCCAAAAGAGAGGAAGAGCCTGAGGGATGATCCTGCTATTTTCCCACCCTGGCTGGACAGACAGACAGACCTCCAGCAAAGCCTCTCCCTTCCGCAGAAAAGGGTGCTGGGCAGGGACAAATGGGTCAAGGGACAATTTTATCCACTGCCCTTTCCGGAGTCACAGTAAAGTGGCTCCAACCCTGGGATGCAGCTACAGGCTGTGACTCCTCTAAAACCTTGGAGGAAGGATCTTGGGCTGTCTTGGTAGTCTTGCGTAGCCACAGGTTTGCTACCAGCCTGGTAAAGCCAAGCCCCCTGTGATGTCCCTGCAGCAAGGCCCATTTGTTCTGCTTCCCCTCTCTCCAGGTGTCATCGCTGGGAGTCACCACCTTCAGCCTCTGTGCCCTGGGCATCGACAGGTTCCATGCAGCCACCAGCCCCCAGGCCAGTGCCCGGCCCATTGAGCAGTGCCAGTCCATCATCGCCAAGCTGGCCGTCATCTGGGTGGGCTCCATGACACTGTCGGTGCCAGAGATCCTGCTCTGGCAGCTGGCACAGGACACATCACCCGTGTCCGGTGTGGTAACAGAGTATTGCACCATGAAGCCCTCGTCCAACCTGCCCGAGTCCGTCTACTCGCTGGTGCTCACCTACCAAAACGCTCGGATGTGGTGGTACTTTGGTTGTTACTTCTGCTTGCCCATCCTCTTCACTGTGAGCTGCCAGCTGGTGACCCGGAGGATCAGCGGCACTGAGAAGAAGACTGAGTGCCGAGGGACCAAGCACAGCCAGTGCGAGAGTCACTTGAACTGCACCATCATCGGGCTGACCATCATCTATGGGCTCTGCACCACCCCTGAGAATGTCTGCAACATTGTGGTCGCCTACATGTCCCCTGACATGTCCAAGCAGACCTTGGACCTGCTAAACCTCATCAACCAGTTCTTCCTGTTCTTCAAGTGCTCTGTGACTCCCGTCCTGCTCCTGTGCCTCTGCAGACCCCTGGGTCAGGCCTTCATGGACTGCTGCTGCTGCTGCTGTGAGGGCTGCAGCCCCGCCACTGCCTCCAGTGAGGGCAGCGCCGACAGCAAGCTCAAAACGGAGATGTCCTCCTCCATCTTCTTCGACAAGCCCCGGGAGTCCCCTCCACCCCTCCTGGCCCTCGGCACACCTTGCTAAGTGCCACCGGGAGCTGTAGAGATTGATTCACCACCTCCCCCCAAGACCAAACGTTGTTTTGCCATTAGTGCCCGTGTCTGGACGTGGAGCAAGCAGAAGAGACAGCTCAGGGGACTACACCATGGGCTTCAAACCCCACATTGGGCAAGTGGGGCTTGAAACCCGAGTCCCCGTGGCTCCATTGGTGGCCTTCTTGCCTCTGCCCAAAGGCCAGTGAGGACATCAGCACCCTCCTGTCCTGGCCAGGCTTGGAGGGGTTGCTGCTCTGGTGATGGAGTTGTGCCAGAAAGGTGCCATCTGAAATTACAGAGGGTTTCCATGGTGGCTTGCAGAGGACACAGCAAACAAACTGCCCTCGTCCTGTCCTGTCCCCTCCTGCCAGCCCCCTCCCCAGTAGGAGAAGGTCCCGGTGACTGTATCCCACCAGATCCCTGCAGTGCCCTGTGTAAGACCTCAATAAACCAGTAACCTAGAGCACACTGTGCACGCAGCCGTCCGGCACCGCTGGGCTGGGCCCCGGGGAGCTGGCGCTTGGATGGTTCTTCCCTAAAACCAGGGGGCCATGGGGTGGGCACGAGGAGCTGGGGGGGCACGAGGGCAGGAAAGCAGCGGTGCCAGGTCAGGGAAAGGTCCCTCTGTCCCTTCCCTCTGGGGTGACAGTGAGCTGGTGCCAGGCCCTGGGAGGGTCCCCTCCAAAGCACCGGGCTTGGTTGGGGTGGTTTGTAGAACTCAGACTGGTCCCAATAAAGCCCAGACAGCCCAGCACTGGGTGCTCCACAGCCTGCAAGATGGATGGTTCCTCACGTCCACCGTGCAGGACCTGGGTGCTGCCGTGCAGTGCTGGGGGCAGGGTGCAGGACCACCACCCCCAGCACCCCTTGGGGAGCCAAGGGGGTGAGCACATCTCCTCCAAACAGCCCCATGCAGGGTTCCTGGCCTCATCCACCTGCCCATCACGGGGACAACACTGTCCCCAAATGATGACTTGAGAACATCAGGGTTTCCAAGCCCCACATCCGCCCTCTGCCCAAGGCTCGAGCACCCGGGTGGCTCTGGGGAGCAGCCCGGGCGGTGGGATGGGGCTGAGGACAGGCTGGCCAGGCTGGCCCCATCCGCCAGAGCTGTTAAAGCTCCTTGTCCTGCCGCTGGCACCCGCCCAAGCCCGCGAAATGCTGGGGCGAGGGAGCCGGTTGCCACGGGCGGGTGAATGCGAGGGGCTCACTGCTGGCTTTGTGAGGCACCGACACCCACCCGGCTTTGCTTTGGCAGCCCCGTTTCCAGGGAAACAAAAGCCTCAGTTTTCTTCCCAGAGCACAAAACAGGGTTTTTCCTTTTCCTCCCCCCTCCACCAGCACTGGGCCCCGCAGTTTGGGAGCAGCCGGGGAGAAGAGAGGTCTCATAGAGGGCTCTCATCCTGGTGTGGGGAGCAGAGCCCAGGCTGGTGCAGCCCCTCACATCCCCGTGGGGTGAGCGGGGTCCCTGTGGGGGTTCGGTGGCAGTGGGAGGACGGGAGCGGAGGCAGCTCTCATGTGCTCGGTCTGTGTCGCCCTGTTCTGAGCCCGGGCCAAGGGCAAACAAAGCCGGGCTTGTTGCTGCGGCCCCGCAGGGCTGGATGCTTGAGGAGGAGAGCAGGGCAGGGGGCTGGGAGAGCACCCGCAGCTCCATCAGCGTGGGCTGAGGTGACACATGGCCCCATATCAGGCAGAGCACCCCATGGGCCCAGTTCCTGGGTACCCTGTTTGGCTGCCCCAAAGCACAAACCACAACCCAGGGGGGGTTGGTGCAGATGACACAGGGCTGGGGTGTCCCCACCAGCAACAGCCACAGCCCCCGGGATGGGGCTGGTGCCAGCAAGGGGGCAGGGAGAGGGGGCAGGAGCCCTGCAGCAACTCCCCTCCAAACCCAGCAGTGTCCTGGGACATGATGTGGGGGCAGAGGAAGGTCCAGTGGCAGCGATGGCCACAGCTGGACATCTGCAAGTGCGTGTTTGCACAGAGGCAAAGAAAATGTCATCAGATGCTGGAGGCAGCACCTCAAATCATAGAATCATCGAATATTGTGAGTTGGAAGGACCCACAAGGA